TATCTATCTATCTATCTATCTATCTATCTATCTCAGTCTGTTCAGATCTATCTATCTCAGTCTGTTCAGATCTATCTACCTCAGTCTGTTCAGATCTATGTATGTATGTATGTATGTATGTATGTATCTATATATATATCTATCTCAGTCTATTCAGATCTATCTATCTATCTATCTATCTATCTATCTATCTATCTATCTCAGTATGTTCAAATCTATCTATCTATCTATCTCAGTCTCTTCAGATCTATCTATCTATCTATCTATCTATCTATCTATCTATCTATCTATCTATCTCAGTCTCTTCAGATCTATCTATCTATCTATCTATCTATCTATCTATCTATCTATCTATCTATCTATCTATCTATCTATTGCTTATGCTAATCTATAAGTTATTTCCTTTCTAACCTGGCATCATGTTCAATATTCAATTTTCCGCCGTAATATTTTTGTCGAAACTCTTTGACAAGAAACCGAATGTAATTCTCTCTTAAAGACTTTCACTTCTACATCCGAACATCCGATCAGATAAAAATCCAAGCACAGAAGATGTTATTTCGACTTTCAGAGTTGCTGGATTCATCAGCAGAAAATTATCGCCAATATCAAACGTAAATTCTATGAAAAGAACATCACTTGATTTTTGGCCTAGAATAGGAAATGTCGTTGTCCGCACATTGAGAAAAGCCATATTATTTTATAAAGTTATTTAGGAGGAGGTCAGTGTCTTTTTCATCTTCATTAAATGTCTCCGTCATTGTACTCTTCGGCCTTCTTTCTCTATAAATGTTTGAGATTATTTTTTTGTCTATTATACATTGATTCTTTTCGACCCCTATCCCCATTTTTGTTGTTTTTATCCACTATACACCGTGATCTTTCCGTTTCAGTTTTTGAGATGTAGTGTTGGTTAGTATTATATATTGATTCTTTTCGACAAACATCCCCATCTTTGTTGTTTTTATCCCAATACCTTATCCACTATACCTCGTGACCTCTCGGTCAATTTTGTAGATGAGGTTTTCTTAGTATTATACATTGATTCTATTCGTGCAATATCCAGATCTTTGTTGTCTTTATCACAATACTTTATCTACTATGCCATTTGACCTTTTCTTTTTAGCTTCCGAGATGAGATGTTGTTATTAATTTATGTCAATTTTTTCATTTTCCTTGGATTTTTGTCGGATTCGGAAACTGCGTAGTTTGAACGATGTTTCTATTTATTTATTATACTATAGCTTACCCAAGATCATGCCCAAGAGCCACTCAATGTAGAGGTTTTGTGAATTATGTTGTTGTAAGAAAGTGCAAGGATCGTGCAAGAAGGATATTTAGGATAGATAACGGTTGACGAGAGTTTGGAAATTTTTTACTATTAAAAATTCGTGACCCGTAGAAGCATTGTTAAATATTCTTTCCATATTTCCAGAAGGCTGCCATATGCGATCGGAAGAGGAAATACCCGGTCTCAAAAGAGGATCGGAAGAGGAAATACCGGGTCTCAAAAGAGGATCAGAACAGGAAATACCCCGTCTCAAATGGGGATCGGAAGAGGGAATACTCCGTCTCAAAAGAGGATCAGAAGAGGAAATACCCCGTCTCAAAAGGTGATCGGAAGAGGGAATGCTCCGTCTCAAAAGAGGATCGGAAGAGGAAATACCCCGTCTCAAATGGGGATCGGAAGAGGGAATACTCCGTCTCAAAAGAGGATCGGAAGAGGAAATACCCCGTCTCAAAAGCGGATCAGAACAGGAAATACCCCGTCTCAAATGGGGATCGGAAGAGGGAATACTCCGTCTCAAAAGAGGATCGGAAGAGGGAATACCCCATCTCAAAAGAGGATCGGAAGAGGAAATACCCCGTCTCAAAAGAGGGAGAAATACCCCGTCTCAAAAAGGATCGAAGAGGGAAATGCTCCGTCTCAAAGAGGAAAAATACCCGTCTCAAATGGGGATCGGAAGAGGAATACCCGTCTCAAAAAGAGGATCGGAAGACCCCCGTCTCAAAAGCGGGAACAGGAAATACCCCGTCTCAAATGGGGATCGGAAGAGGGAATACTCCGTCTCAAAAGAGGATCGGAAGAGGGAATACCCCATCTCAAAAGAGGATCGGAAGAGGAAATACCCCGTCTCAAAAGAGGATCAGAAGAGGAAATACCCCGTCTCAAAAGGGGATCGGAAGAGGGAATGCTCCGTCTCAAAAGAGGATCGGAAAGGAAATATCCCGTCTCAAGAAGGATTGGAAGAGAAAATACCCCGTCTCAAAAGAGGAAATACCAAATCTCAAAAGGGGATCAGAAGAGGAAATACCCCGACTCAAAAGAGGATCGGAAGAGGAAATACCCCGTCTCAAAAACCCAGACAGCAAGAAATCTGCAGATTAGTCTAGATGACGCATTCGGATAAAGACGACGAAAATTATCTAAAATAATCAATTTATAATATTAACAACACTTCAACTCAAATATTCATATATAATGAAGGCTGTAGAGTAAGCTGCCGGATGATAATTGTAAGATTAACCGTTTTCTTACAGGGAAAAGTCAGAATTAATTCCCCGAACGGTTAGTTTTACTGTCGGTTGAAATTTATAGAATCCTTTTCTTAAAACATTTTCCCGAAATTAGAATTGTCAAATCCACTAAATGTTATAACTCTTTCTAATACTGATGGAAGTTTCCATCCATTCATTCTGTTTAAGGTAGTGTGGAATGTTAAAACTTTGATTACATTCGGTCTTTCCTCTTCACAATAACATAAACATTTTGACGATAAAACTTTGTCACATTTGGAGCCTTTTTTTATCTTGATATGCCCTTTTTTAGAAAATCTTTCGAGATACCTAATTTAAATGCAATGTCCATCGTTTTTGCGATCTGGGGGTCTGGCAAGACACAACACTTAACTCGACAGAGTCAGTCGTGATAGTAGTATTCAATACTCAGCTAGCCAAGTCACTGCAATAGCATTATCTCCTTTTCTTTGTAGACAATTACCCAGGACTACGTATCATAGATGGATCAGTCCATTCATGATGGTAAGGAGGTAACTGGCTCTTACCAAAACAGAGACTAAGATAGAAACATAGATAGATAGAGTTTTAGGCATTTCATTGCGTCCTGAATTAAAAATGGCCAAGAAACACTGCGCTAGACAATTACCAAGGACTTCTTATCATGAATGGATCAGTCAATTCATGATAGTAAGGAGGGTAACCGGGTCTTATCACAATACAGACTAAGAAAGAAAGATAGAGTTTTAGGTATTTCAGTTTGGCATGAATTAAAAATGGCCAAGAAACACTGCTCTAGACAATTACCAAGGACTACTTATCATGAATGGATCAGTCTATTCATGATAAGAAGGAGGGTAACTGGCTCTTACCATAGCATCTCCCCTTTTATGACGTGTTTTCTAAAGAAGTTATAATTTTTTATTCTTGTTTAAGATCCAACACTTCTGTTGTCTGTCTCTTTCTTTGTATTCGAGCATGTGGTTTCCGGGGTTATCTGGCGCATAAGGCATTTTTATTAAGTTTGGGGCATTTTTTCATCATGGCATGCTCAATCGTTATTTCCTGTCTTCTTAATTCATGTTCTTTTATTGTTCGCTCTCCTTAATAGTGTTTTTTTCCCTTCTTCTATTACACTTCTTACTTCTGGTCTTCTGCTTCTTAGTCAACTATGATATTCAAAAATCAAGATCCATTGTCAATCGTTATCTTCTTTCTTTTTAATTCCTGTTCTTTTATTGTTCTTAATTGTTATGGGACCTTACCCATAATAACATAATGGACTATTCCATACGTAATAAATACTGCGCCTCAAGAGGAAGTAGGGAGTTCAGCCCGAAGTCGGGCGACCGGCTGATCGGTTGAACTCTCTGCCTTCGGGCGGGGAGGAACCCGAACGAGGCTACGCCGAAGGGCGGAGTCTCTTTCGGGGAGGTAAACCGACCCAGAACCCGTTTATACGGGTTCAAAGGGCATATTTTTGGCAGAGCCCACGAGCTCGGGATCCCACGGCCTTGGGATCCCACGTTAAACCGGCCTTGTGCCAAATGATGCCCCCCGCGGGGGAGGTGACTAAATACTGTTCAGTCTGAAATCTGGAGTGAGGTCCGTCAGAAGTCCATCAGGAGTCTGTCAGTCAGTCAGAGCGAGCGAGTCAGTCAGTCGAGTCAAGAGTCGAGTCAGTGGCAGTCCGAAACAGAGTCGCGTTCAGACAATTACTACAAGACATTGGAATAGTGATACTGGTCGAGACTACATTGTTCTCCCTACTAAACCTGATTGTTCGTACTAATACTTTTTACTTCTCTGTATATATTCCTGTTTGTAATATATCTGTGTTATTCCATACCTGTGTTCGAGTTCTTCTTTATTGGTTCTACCTTGGACTATCACCGTGGTACAAGGAACCGGACCATAACACTAATAGCGCTTTTTCTCATATTCTCTCACACTTGTAACCCATTTGCGCCTTAGTTACTTTAGTAACTTTAGTTAGTTGCCTTCCTTGAGGTGAAGTAATTAAAGAAAAAAGAAAAAACGTGTCAAGGATCAATCGTTATCTATTCTCCATATCCCCATCATTTTAATTTTTTTCTTTCATATCAAGAATTTTATTCAGTAACCCTCTGTCTTGACTGGTTCTTGAGCCTTGTATTGGATGAATATTCGTAAAGAAAAAGTTCAGCCCAATGATTCTTAGAATCCCATGTCTAATTCCTCTTTTCTTGATCCGGTGTTTTCTCGATTCTTTACTTTTGAAATGACGTCTCGCAATTTTTTCGCCATTATCGTTTCATATCGCTGATTATTGAAACAATTTGTGACAACCAATTGCTTTAATTGCAATCATATGAAAAACAAAATATCCTTATTTCAATGGCCCATAAAATTTCCATTTGACTTAATACTCAATTCATCCTTTGGCGAAAAACTAGTACCTTTCGAGCTGAAATTTCTCCCATGGGAGGCAAGTGCCTCCCATTTGAAAACCACTTCATTAGCCTATCAAATAGAATGAGTTATTAAAAAAAAAGCGATGGGGTGCCTAAATCAGACTTGGTGGTTTGCGTGATAGTTTTACAGATGGCTACTAGAATGTACTTTCCTCACTGAGAGCTCGTCTATTTGCCAAACTAAGCATCATTTGCTCAAGCCTGTTAGTACGTCTCTCGTAGGGCGGTGGTTTGTGATTTATATAAGCATGTTATGAGCATGAGTCGTAAATTATTTCCGTTTTTCATTATCAACTTCATTCTTTAAAATATGAACTACAATTACATTTTATTCAATTAAGTATTCACCATTACTTGCAATGACTTGTTACCAATTATCAGGCAGCTCCTCGATACCAATTGCGTAAAATTCCACAGGTTTTGATGTGAAAAGGTTTTCGACGAACACTTAACTCTGTTTTTCATTAGATAATGTTTTCCCCATCAAAGTATTTTGCAGCGATCGAGCAAGTGGATAATCGGTTGACACCATGTCAGGTGAACAGGTTCGGGTCGGGTAGAACAGACCAACCGAGTTCCACAAGTGTCCCTGTGTTTTGTTATTGTATACAGCCTTTTTCTTTTCATCTACTGTGTACGCTGCCATTGTCGAACAAAACGTTAATGTATGCAACATTTATTGTTAGTTATAATAATTAGCCACCCAAAACTGTTACCTCTGTTCTATTGTATGACTATTCAGATTTGATCCATACCTCAAAAATGGAAAAATTATTGGATGGAGCCTACACTTGGATGCTAAGAGTGGCTTTGAATGGCACTTTGATTGAGAGTTTAACCAATGAATGATTGTATGGGGACCTTCGTCTAGTATCAGAAAATATCAAAGAACTTAGAGTCAGATTTGCAAGTATTGTAATTATTTACACTATTAACATTGTTCAGACCGTTGTCCTCATGTTTATTGCCATATTAACGAGGTTTCGGCCGTTGGACGCGCCGGCCTTCTTCAGGTAATATACATCGGAATTTCGAACCCTTTATTTCGTCCACCATTGTAGATTGGATCTAGTTCCACGTGCCATGCCTTTTCTGGATATCTCAGTTTCAGTTATTTCCCTTTATTAACTCAACTCTTCAAATTTTTGTTCACCTCTGCTGTGGCCAGATATTGAACACAAAAACTTGGAGAAAAACCATGGTACCAAACCCATCCAAAAATATCTAAACTGTCAGCTGTATTTTCCCTATTTACATTATTTGAACTCTTGTCCTCGCCTTTATTGTCATATTCACAACATTTCAGCCATTGAACGCTCCGGACTTCTTCAGATTATACACGGACCCTTTATTTATCCATGGGGGTAAATTGCTCTAGATCCATCTGCTATGCCCTTTCTGGATATCTCAGTTTCAAGTAACGCCCTTTAGTAACTCAACTCTCCAAGATTTTGTTCATCTCTGCTGTAGCCAGGTATCGAACTCACTATTTTTGGATAACTTCAATCAGCTGGGCCACAGGTTTTTGAGGAATCTATCGGTGGACGGAATAAAGGGTTCGGTTCGAAATACCAACATATATTACCTGAAGAAGGCCGAAAAGTACAACAGCCGTATGGCAATAGAGATAAAGAGAACAGTCTGAACAATGTAAATAGTGCAAATAGCTACAATTCCACATTTCAGAAATATAGACAGATCCTGAAGAAAGCCAGAGCGTACAATGGCCGAAACGTCGTGAATATGGCAATAAATATGAGGACAACAATCTGAACAATGTAAATAGTGTAAAATACCTCATCTCAGGAATATAGACAGATCCTGAAGAAGACCGGAGTGTACTTAAGCCGAAACGTCGTGAACATGAGAATAAAGATGCGAACAACAGTTCGAACAATGTAAATACTTTAGAAACTCTGATATTGAAATATTTCGATTTTAACAAAATACGCTGCCTCTTCCACATTTGTTATGGGACCTTACCCATAATAACATGATGGACTATTCCATACATAATAAATACTGCGCCTCAAGAGGAAGCAGAGGTTCAGTCTGAAGACTGAAGTGAGGTCCGTCAGGAGTCTGTCAGTCAGTCAGAGCGAGTGAATCAGTCAGTCGAGTCAGAGGCAGTCCGAAACAGAGTCGCGTTCAGACAATTACTACTAAAACTGATTGTTCGTACTAACACTTTCTACTTCTCTGTGTATATTCCTCTTTGAAATATATCTGTGTTATTCCATATCCGTGTTCGAGTTCTTCTTTATTGGTTCTACCTTGGACTATCACCGTGGTACAAGGAACTGGAACATAACAACATTGAAAAACCGAAATTCTCACAGGAGAATTTTCCTTTTGCTTCCAAGGTTTGTAATATAATTAGCAAATTTGAAGAAATGGTCGATTATTAATGAAACACCTCAACCTAGTAAACTGAAAGGAAATTATAGATGACTGTATTTGCTTGTGGCATTCATTGGGCCTAGTAAAGTTTCATGGTTTCCGTGTGGATTCGAACACTGGTCACTTGTTC